AAACGGCTCGATTCCGCGCTATCTTGCTGCGAGTACGCCGTGGGGGCCTACTCGGTAGGACTAGAGCGGTTTACGGAACTACTGTCCGAGGCGGTGACCGCCCCCGAGGTAGCCCTACCGACCATTGCGGCTAAATGGAAGCAACTGTGGGAGCACCACGACGCGACCGACCGAAAGCACTTCGAGGTATTTACACCAGAGGTGTTTAGAGTCATCGAATTAGGCAACCCGGGACACGACACGACAATCGAGTTGGAAATCAAAGGTTATCCGCACTACTGGCCAACGGCGCATGCCGCCGGTCACGAGTTGCTTGGCATCCTGAACAACTGCACCGGCTGGGTCGACCCTTGCCGTTCTCTTCTCAACCAGCGTGAGTTGGTTACGTCAAAGCTCGCGGGCTTCCCCGAAGTAAATATGGGATGGTGGCGGTCGAGATTGTCTCTTGAGCACCGCAACGCGGTCGCCTGGATTGAGCAGCGAGACGCGACCGGACAACCGGACAACGGAACGGACAACGAAGAAAAAACTCCGAGATTTACAGACCCCCCCGAAGACATCCGGCGGGCGGCATTATTCCTGCGTCGCAACCAGAAAGAACCGGGCGGCAAACTCGATCTACTCACGCAACACGCGGGAAATGTTGCCGAGGCGCAGCGGCTCTCTAACGAGCTGAAGCCGTCACGATACGGCGCCTACCTACTGGCTGGCACAAGGTTCCTGCGGACAACGAGCGGACAACGAAAATAGACGGCACCGCGACCCCCTTTACCTTGCTTGGATTGGCATCCCCGCCCGTCCACTAGCAAGGTTTTTTTATGGTCCGCCAAGCTGCTGAGTTCGCCCCGGTCGCCGCTGTTATTGAGCGCAACACCGGACAACGTCCCCACCCATCGACCTGCACCCGTTGGACGCGCCACGGCGTCGGCGGCATCAAGCTCAAGGTCAAGATGGTGGGCGGACGCCCGCTGACCTGTGACGAGTGGTTCGACTCGTTCTGCGACGCCCGCACCGCCGCCGCTGGTCTCTCTGACGACGCTGGTATCTCTGCCGGCGAGTAGATCACCACGCCCGCCCGCGCCTACTGGCTCGCGGCGCGTGGTGGGCTTAACTCGGCGAGCCGTTGGAGTTTCTGCGATGCAATCTGGCTACCTAGTGACGCTGCACTTGTTCCCCGGCGACGACCTGCCGCAACGGCTGTTCGGAGATCGGGACTCGGCGAGAGAGTTCACCCAGACCGTGCCGTTAGAGGAGCTGGTCTCGACGTTCGGTTACTGCATTTCCGGACGTGAGATTGAAGACCACGCGTTCTCGATTACCGAGTTCGACGGCGGCATTCCGGTCGGCATGGAGAGGGTCGGGCGGGACGACTACCCGCGAGAGATGGACGCGACCCGCACCCTAGCGACCGCCTGAGTTCTGAACCGAGCCCAACCCGACCGGGTGGCAAAGCCCGGTCGGGCGGCTCTTTCGATTCATCGCTCGGCAGTGGGACGAACACGGCGCCGAGCGGCATCAAGGAAGACAGAGGCATGATAACGGATTCAGAGGCAGAGACCACTACAAAGGTCGGTCCCCGCGACCGCATGACGTACCGCCACGAGCTAGTTGCGGCGGCTGACGCGTTGATTAAGGCGGGGCTCCCCGTCACGGTCGCCAATGGGAAGAATCCCGGCGGCGCGATGGGCAAAGCTTGGGAGACGCAGACCCTCGAGGCGCAAGCCGTCTTCACGCTCACCGGCTCCGTCAGCCATCCGACGATTGGCGTCAAGCTCGGACCGGGCGGCGGCATCCTCGACGCGGATGTCGATAGCGCCAGCGAGGAGCGTGCGCTGCTCGACTTATTCGACGACGATCCGCCCACCGCTCCGACCTACACGTCGGGACGCGAAGGCGGCAAGCACATCTGGTTTGCGTTCGATGAGCGCCTGCAAGCCATCGGCAAGGCGACCGTGACCTACGTCAGCGCGGCGGGCGATAAGGTCACGCTGCGGATTGGCTGCGGCGTCGATGAGAAGACGGGCGAGCCGCTGGGCGCTCACTCGGTTTGTCCGCCCAGTTATCACGCCGACAAGATGGTCGACCCGGTGACAGGCAAGAAGACCGGCGCCGTCAATTGGACTGGTCCGCGCTACGCCTGGAAGCCCGACGCCAGCATCGACGACATCGACCCGCCCCCACTTCCCGACCGTGTTGTCGAGAAGCTTATCAAGGCGGCGCAGGGGACCGCCAAGAAGACCCGCACCACGACCACGATGTCGGCGCCAATCCCGCCCCGCGTTAGCTCGGGCGAGATCACCGGCGCCGTGGCTGCGATGGTCACTAGCACCAAGAGGATGGAAGACGGCGGCGACGGCTCCAAGCGTCTCTTCTGTTGCGCCTGCCGTGCGGTCGAGTTGAACCTTAACGACATCGACGCGGTCGCCGCAGTGAGGCTGTACGAGGTCGAGAGACCGTTCCCCGTGGCGTGGTCCGATGATGACATCCTGCAGCGCGTGAGGGACGCCGAGAAGACGGTAGCGCGGGGCTGCGAGTTGGTGTTCTCCAATGCGGTCGAGTATGAGACCGGCGAACTAGATGACGATGGCGAGCCCGAGGTTAAGCGGGCGCTGCTGAAGATGTCCGACATCCGTCACGACCTGGATGTCGCTTTGGATAAGTGGCCGCGTCGCGTGGGCTCGGCGCTCTTCATCGACGACCCCGTTCACGGCATCGGGTGGCTCGGCACGCCCGACGCGCTCTTCGGGTGGCTGCAAACGCGGCGCAAGGTCGGATGGTACGGCGGACCGGAAGCCGTTAGCCGTCAGAACCTGCACGCCGAGTTGACGCGGACCGCCATCGACTATGACGCGGTCGAGAAGCTGCCCCACTTCCCGCGTATGGCTCGCCATTACTACGCCTGCACGCAGCCCAAGCCCGGCAACGGCGACGCACTACGGCGGCTGGTGGCTCGGTTCACGCCCTCGACCACGGTCGACCGCGACTTACTGGTCGCGCTGTTCGTGACGACGTTCTGGGGAGGGCGACCCGGGACGCGCCCGGCGTTCGTGCTGACATCGGACGCAGGTCGAGGCGCCGGCAAGACGACGTTGGCGGAGATGGTCGGCTACTTCGCTGGCGGTCTCATGGCGTTCGAGCCCGGCGAAGATTGCGACAAGATGAAACAGCGTCTCTTGAGCCCCGAGGCGGTCGGGAAGCGGGTCGCGCTGGTCGACAACGTCAAGCGGACTCGGTTCAGTTGGGCAGAGTTAGAGGCGCTGGTCACGACCCCCGTCGTCAGCGGGAAGCGTCTCTACGTCGGCGAGGCACAGCGTCCGAATACCCTGACCTGGGTCGTCACGTTGAATGGCGTGGCGCTGTCGACCGACCTTGCCCAGCGCAGCGTCATCATCAAGCTCGATAAGGCGACCTACTGCGGCGAGTGGAAGGATGCGACCTACCGGTTCATCGACGCCAACCGAGACGCGCTGCTCGCCGACATCGCCGCATTCTTCGAGCGCGACCGCTGGGAGTTGGGCAGGGCTTCCCGCTGGGGCGCCTGGGAGCGTGACATCCTTTCCCGCATCGACGAGCCCGGCGAAGCGCAGAAGGTCATCCTGGAACGGCAAGCCGAGTGTGACGCGGACGGCGACGACGGCGCCATGGTCGATGAGTACGTCGCCGAGAAGCTCGAGGAGCTGGACTACTGCTCCGAGACCATCCAGGTCCGCATTCCCGTGCGTGTCGTCGCCCGCTGGTTCAACGACTCCACGGGCGAGACGAACAAGACCGCCAGCGTGACACGGCGCCTCAACCAGATGGCGACGGAAGGGCAGGTTAAGCGCCTCAAGCTCGACCCGAGCCGACACTACGGTCGTGGCTTCATTTACACCGGACCGATGGCGGACATCCTCAACACGCCCATTCACAACGACCTAGGTGCGAGGCTTCACCAACACTTACTAAGGCAAGAGCAACAACGCAAAGACAGTTGGGACGGTCGGGACGGTTTGCCCCATTAATACCCTACGCGTGAGGCTACTTCGCTTTCGTTCGTTTGTGTGAGTAAGAGAGGTTTAATAGGCAGAAGCGTCCCGAGCGTCCTGCCCGTCCCGCCATGACGACCATGAAGACCAC